TAGGCCAATAATCACCACCCAACCGAAAACCCTAGCGGATGGCTACCACTGATTCAAGGACCAGCTGTATTATCTGTGGGACCCACGTACGAAGTGCAAAAGTGGGCACCTTGTTGAAAAATCATTAAGAGTTCCAAGGCGGTGGTGGCAGAGCATGGCACCAAACACAGGCCTTTCCAGTGTGGGCCCCGGACACGAATGGCATGCTCGTGAAGCTGGCTGTGGACGCCCGTCATCTGGCCTGAAGCCTGTAGATATGAAGCCCCCTAAGACTACCAGCTGGGCCAGCAGGTGGCACGATAGTTAAGGGATAGATTCCTACAAGACTGACCGCGGTTCGAGTCCTGGACCTGGCGGCTTGAAAATCAGGTCGGGCACGTGTGTGTGCATGTCTAAAATCCCAGGACAAGAATGGAGGTGAAGGAATCACAGTGTGGCCATCGCCCTAAGGTGTGGTTTCTCATTTTTTCTCTCTCTCTCTGGTGAGTACACATGCCCTATGGCAAAAACTTGAAAAACAAAACAAGACTATTGGCTGCGTTTCCAGGCCAGCTCCTACCATGCCGCTGCTTTTCACGGGCGCTCACAAATGGGTGCAGCCCAGCCAGGAACTGGGGAACGGACTTCACTGTGGGGAAAGCAGAACCAAACCGAGAAAGGGAGCTTCGGAGCTGTCTTTCCAGAGTCCGATGGACTACTCCAGAATAACGTCTAAAGTGTCCGAATGATGCAACATAAATTGCCGGAAACATCTTCAAGAGCCCCAGGCCCGAGAATGAGTTGGGGGTCATGGGCAGGTGGAATTCTTAATTCCATCCATCGTTTTTGTAAACGAAGTTCTAAATGTCCCTCACCTCTCCACGGCCCTCCCTTGGCTCCCAGAGAACGAGTGAGGGGCCCTCTAGGTATGCTGCCCAGTCTGAGTGGCTGACTGGAGTCTAAGGGAGGCCGCACTTCCTTCACAGCGACCCCTGCCCAGCACGGCAGCCCCCGCCCCATATGCCGAATCCCTTCCAAGGGAAAGGGCACATTTAGTCAGGGCCTTCACGCCAGCTCCCTGAAACACCTGCCTGTGAATCAAAACTTCTGAAAGGAGTTGAGCGCCCCCTGCTGGGTACTCAGCAGTATTGACTAAGCTCTCTCCCAAGGCCCCAAGTCTGAAAATTAACCGGAGGGATTTGACCTTGTGTACAAACCAGTGACAACAATATGACTCATGATGGCAAATTCATGAGTTATACATGAGTTTGGTAATTTTTAATTATGAGTTGTACATGAGTTTGGTTGACATTTTTTTTGTCTTTTTTTTAAGAGAGATTTTTTGCAATAGGGTGTGTGAGCTCTCCGGGGAGACAGTGACAGAAAGTGAGAAATCACCCCTGGGGGATGGCCACACCGCAATCCCTTCTCCTCCATTCTCCTCTCGGGATCTTGGGCACGCATGCCCAC